CTTACCTGTGTACCTCTGTGATAGGAAGACAGTGGCTCAAGCCTTACCCTAGGCAAACACCTTCACATACAACCTGAGTCAACAGAGGCCCCTTGCTGCCTCATAAAGCCCAACTCAATGCGGTGACACATTCAAATGAAAGACAATGAGGCACAACAGCATCAAAGAGCACTGAATTCTCAACACACACAAAACAGACAATCATATTAAAAAATGGGCAGAAGATATGAACAGACACTTCCCCAATGAAGACATACAAATGGCTATCAGGCACATGAAAAAATGTTCATCATCACTAGCCATCAGGGAGATTCAAATTAAAACCACATTGAGATACCACCTTACACCAGTTAGAATGGCCAAAATTAGCAAGACAGGAAACAACATGTGTTGGAGAGGATCTGGAGAAAGGGAAACCCTCTTACACTGTTGGTGGGAATCCAAGTTGGTGCAGCCACTTTGGAGAACAGTGTGGAGATTCCTCAAGAAATTAAAAATAGAGCTTCCCTATGGCCCTGCAATTGCACTACTGGGTATTTACCCCAAAGATACAGATGTCGTGAAAAGAAGGGCCATCTGTACCCCGATGTTTATAGCAGCAATGGCCACAGTCGCCAAACTGTGGAAAGAACCAAGATGCCCTTCAACGGACGAATGGATAAGGAAGATGTGGTCCATATACACTATGGAGTATTATGCCTCCATCAGAAAGGATGAATACCCAACTTTTACATCAACATGGACGGGACTGGAAGAGATTATGCTGAGTGAAATAAGTCAAGCAGAGAGAGTCAATAATCATATGGTTTCACTTATTTGTGGAGCATAACAAATAGCATGGAGGACAAGGGGAGATGGAGAGGAGAAGGGAGTTGAGGGAAATTGGAAGGCAAGTTGAACCAAGAGAGACTATGGACTCTGAAAAACAATCTGAGGGTTTTGAAGGGGCAGGGGGTGGGAAGTTGGGGGAACCAGGTGGTGGGTATTAGAGAGGGCACGGATTGCATGGAGCACTGGGTGTGGTGCAAAAACAATGAATATTATTACGCTGAAAAGAAATTTTTAAAAAAAGCACTGAATTCTTTACTGATTCCATGGAAAGATGGTCAAGGGGGCATGACGCCATAGCACACTCTTCTCCTTGGCCAGCCCTTTTCCGAAGGCCTGACTTAGAGGGCAGCCCTCACTTTGAGTCCCCTGTGTCACTCCCAAAACTCCCATTTTGTTTCTCAGCGGCTTCTACTACTGTGTGTGTCCACGCCTTAGAGGAGTAGCCCTCTGTTCTTCCTATCATCTCTGTCTTTGTCATATAAATTTAAGTCTTCAATTTTCTTCTGTGCCCAGCAAGGCCCCTTATTGTGCTGAGTGGGCTTATGGTTGTGGATAAACACAGAAACCTACTTAGGAGAGAGGAGAATGGGAAAGGTTCTGAATATTTATACTTGATATATGTGTCCCAGTCATTCCTGCACATCACTAGAATGGGAAATACCTAAGACTGAGTACAGTACTTGGGTACTGAGTACAGTACACAAGCTGTATGACCTTGGTGAGTAATACCTCTGGGCCTTAATTTCTTTATCCATAAAATGGGACTATTCCTACCTATCCTAAGAAGTGCACAGGGGAACAACAGTTGAAAGAGCTTTGAAATACAATGGGCTCATCTTATGTTCATGTAAGGTTATTAGAGCCTAAAACTAGACACATCCGCTTTCTAAAGGCTATTACAGGTTCATGTGAAAAACGTGGTTATTTAGAAAAGCAACAACTATGATAACCTAGTTATCAGCTCCTGATTCAGGATCCAATATAGAGATCCAATATAATTAATTAGGTTCCCTATTATCAGTAATTCACTTCTAAATTTTATTTTATGGTTACTCTTAAAAATAGTTTTCTAAAGTTACACATTTTACCAGAGCTGATTTCTTTAAATTAGTTTCAGAGGTAGAGTTTAGTGATTCATCAGTTGCATATAATACCCAGTGCTCATTACATTACTTGCCCTCCTTAATGCCCATCACCCAGTTACCCCATCCCCCCACCTGCCTCCCCTCCAGCAACCCTCAGTTTGTTTCCTAGAGTTAAGAGTCTCCTGTGGTTTGTCTTCCTCTTTGATTTTGTCTTATTTTATTTTTCCATCCCTTCCCCTATGTTCATCTGTTTTGTTTTTAAATTCTACATATGAGTGAAATCATATGATATTTGTCTTACTCTGACTTATTTCACTCAACATAATACCCTCTATTTCCATCCACATCTTTGCAAATGGCAAGACATCATTCTTTTTGATGGCTGAGTGATATTCCATTGTGTATTTATATACCATATCTTCTGTTGGTAGACATCTTGGGCTCTTTCCATAGTTTGGCTATTGTGGACATTGCTGCTAAAAACACTGGGGTATAGGTGCCCCTATGAATCATAATGTTTGTATCCTTTGGGTAAATACCTTGTGGGGAAATTGCTAGGTCATAGGGTAGCTGTATTTTTTTTTAGGAACCTCCACACTGTTTTCCAGAGTAGCTGTACCAGTTTGCATTTCCCCCAACAGTGTAAGAGGGTTCCCCTTTATCCACATCCTCGCCAGCATCTGTTGTTTCCTCAATTACTAATTTTAGCCATTCTGCCAGTATAAGGTGGTATCTTATTGTGGTTTTGATTCGTATTTCCCTGATGCTGAGTGATATTGAACATTTTTTCATGTGTCTGTTGGCCGTTTGTATGTCTTCTTTGGAGAAATGTCTGTTCATGTCTTCTGCCCATTTCTTGACTGGATTATTTGTTCTTTGGGTGTTGAGTTTGATAAATTCTTTATGGATTTTGGATACTAGCCCTTTATCTGATAAGGCATTTGCAAATATTTTCTCCCATTCTGTAGGTTGTCTTTTAGTTTTGTTGACTGTTTCCTTTGTTGTGCAAAACTTTGTATCTTGAAGAAATCCCAATAGTTCATTTTTGCTTTTGTTTCCCTTACTTTTGAAGACTTGTCTAGCAAGAAGTTGCTGCAGCCAGGGTCAAAGAGGTTGCTATCCATGTTCTCCTCTAGGGTCTTTGATGGTTTCTTGTCTCACATTTAGGTCTTTCAACCATTTTGAGTTTATTTTTGTGTATGGTATAAGAAGATGGTCCAGTTTCATTCTTCTGCATGTCACTCCCCAATTTTCCCACCACTATTTGTTGAAGAGACTGTCTTTTTTCCATTGGATATTTTTTCCTGCTTTGGCAAAGATTAGTTGACCATAGAGTTGAGGGTCCATTTCTGGGTTCTCTACTCTAGGGCTGATTTTAGCAAAAATCCCAGAAGGATGCTATACTGTGTCTGGTTCCCAGAAATCTGTGTGGAACTTCTAGGCTGCACTGTTCCTTGCTGGCTGACCTGGATAGAAGGTTCATATTCATCTTGGTTTCTATTCCCACTTCAGTATGACTGGAGTGTTATCTTTTAATGGAACTGCAAAGTAGTTATTTTGGAGGTCGTATTAGTAATAGTATGGATGCTTAGGCTAGTCAGTGCTCCTTGGTCACATCTGCATTCTTGTGAACCTAATTTTTGTGGTTTTGCCATATATTTAAGGCAACAATAATAAAAATCCTGGCATCTTCATCATCTCACTTAGAGTTCTTTTCTACGCATATGTGTAAGTTTTGCACTGTAGTGTGTCGTAACTGTTGACCACATAGCTACATAATCATCATAATTATTACTTTGGTAGTCACACAGGCATCCATCTTGTTAGTGCACTGTCATTTACTTAACCTACATTTTCAACAATGGGAGACTCATTTTCCAATTTTTCCTCTATTACAAATAACCTTTAGGTTATATATCTGTGCATATAGTTTCTCTCATTTTTTTAGATTATTTCCTTAGGATACACTTCTTGAATGGGAACAGTGACTCAAAGAATGTGAATTTTTAATAGTTTCTAAATAAATTGACATTATTTTTCCAATTTGCAATGCCATCAGCAATATATTAGTATTCTACTTTCATTATAACCTTATCAGTAGCATTACTATTTTATATTTAGTATGCTTAAATAGTACCTTACTTTTGTGTTTCCATTTTCTCAAAAATAGCAAGTTTTAATCAAACATTTGTTTATAAATTGTACGTTCTCTCGAAAAGCCTCAGTAGTTTTTTTTTTTTTCTTTTTTTAACATCAAGAGCTCTTGGCTTTGTTTCTCTCCCATTGCCCAAGAGTTTTGTGTATTAAATAAAGCTGATGTTGGTATGTTTCTAACAAAATATTCAGTGGCACTCCCATATCAATAAATAAGCACCTGTGTATAAGGAACTATGTGGAGGACTCAGATAAAATGATAGGAAATTTGTAAAATAAAGAGTTGCAAAACCCAGGAAGATATATCTGCACCAAAGTCAAATGCGAGGTTGCCATACAGGTCATTCAATCTCTGGTCAGACTTTGATGACTTTCTCTGTCCCTGACCTGCTGCTCAGCCAGTCTCACTTTTCAACTAGCAAACTCAGGAGCTCCAGCCATACTGCTTCCAACGTTTCCTTCTAAGTTTTATCCCAGGAAAGCTGCCTGATAAAGAAAACCACTATTACCCCACCTCGCATGCACATGCACATGCACATGCACACACAAATGTTTTCATTCCACTCCCAATATGATCCCGTTCCCAATCAGGTAAATACATGAAACTCCATAATGTGCAAAATGGTTTCCCAAATCACAGACCAGTGGGGGACGAAGGCAGTTCCAGAGATCTGATTTTGCCTTGCCTTCCAGGCACCTTTGCCAGTCCCTGAGACAGATGTCTTCCATGTCCTGCCAAATGGTGAAAGAACATTCCAAGAAGACAGACCACCCTAAATTTGTCCTGGAGTTGAGCAACTATTATCTCTGTTCGAGATCTCTTTTTGACCTGAGGATGTCAGAGTTTGTTTGAGTAGGATAATTGCTACATACCAGTAACTGGGAACATAAAGAAATGACTCACTGTGTTTCTCCCTTTTCCTCTTACAGCCTCAACCGAGGGTTCTCCATAAACGTGGTTAGCCTTCCAAGCTGCTGTCCTGCCAGTTGATATGAACGTGGCCTGTTCCTCACAGAAAGACTAACTCATGGCACTGCCAGAAGATCTCCATGGAGCACTGACAGATTAACCAGATTAACTGAAAAAACTCCCATTCAGTCAAGATCATGGGCTTTGAAAAATCTTAGTTTGCTGTGGATTTTAAAATGAGGTGCATAATACACAGTGCCAACTTGCTCCAAGTGGTCATTGGCAGACCATTAGCTGGAAAATTGCTTCCAGTTTTCATCACTGTGCATAACTCAAGCTCCCTTAGGGGAGCTGTCTGTGCCCTTCACTAGAAGTCCTATTTTAGCATGGCAACTACTGGATTATTTTATTATGTGTGCAGATGGCATGATATGTTAGACAAAAAAAAAATCACAGCAGTTCTGCAATCTCAGTGGAAGCGTTCACGATACTCTGCCCTGGTAGGAATGTAAACATGTCTTGATTATGTTAGTTACGATGTCTAAAGGTATTCTGTCCAACTCTTAAGCACTTTACATGAGAACACGACACCAAAACCAATCAGCACGTCCAGTACATGTGGGAAAACAAGTATTCTCCCTCTCTCTCTCTCTCTCTCTCTCTCTCTTTTTTCCTTTTATAAATCTTGTCTTTTTTCTGGCTCAGACTGTCCAAGACAAGCTCTGCTCCCGACGTATCCGCAGTCATACATTGGGGTAACCATGGCCATGATACCGTTCGACTTGACCTGTCGATACTTTACGCAACCAGTTGGGTTTCTTGCTGTGCCAAAGGGGAGGAGAAGAGGTCTGGTGGTTGAAGTATCTTAGGTCTTGGTTCCTGGTACCGGGGCCCAACTCAGCACATCTACACTCAGACAAACACAGGAGGCTTCTAGGTGGCCAGGGTACACATTCGCTCTTTCTACAGCAGAACGTTTTCAGAGAACAAAAGGGGGTGGCTCTTTAGTCAAAGACCGTGGTGGGTTGAGGGAAAGGGCAGCAGAATGCAGTTTTCCTGTGTGGTCTGACTTTATAACTTTAGAAAACTTTTTAGGTCAAGTTTAAATCACAGCTCTCAGAAGAGGGGGAATAGCAAGTGTCCCTCTGCGAGCCTAAAGAAGGGAAAGGGCCCAGTCCACACCAGGTTGCTGCCTCAGTAGGGAACCTACTAGTCCCCTTTAATCCTTTCTGGGATTATATCCACAATTAAATTTTTTTTTTTTTACTATGTCTTACAACAAAGCACAGTCAACCCAGTTATTGCTTGTCTTTGGGCATTAGAGAGACGTCCATATTGGCCAACCCTACCTAATGTTTTAGCTTTTTTTTTCCCCCTGGAAATAGAAACTTGACTGAGTTGAAAATTCAGCAGATATATTCTGCATACCCACAATCCTAGTCTGGGACTGACAGGTGTTGGAGGCTTTTCTTTAAATATGCGTACCCACCCTGGGATCCTGCTAGCACAAGGAAGTTTGGCATTTTGGGGTGGGGGAGCTGCCATACACACACTCATGGTCTGCTCTCCCCTTGTGGAGGGGGTTGGATCTCAGGAAATTGACAGCACATTGGAAAATGCCCCCAGCTGAGATCTGGAAAGTTGACAGGAGAAGAGAAAGAGACCCAAATATGCAGGTGAGTCATCCGGTAGGAGTCCTCCCTTTAGGCTGTGTTGCCGCAGAAGGGGGCTTCCGAGAGGGAACTCGGAGGAGTGTCAGTCACCATCAAGATCTGGCCTTTCACGGGTCAGCACCAGGACCATCAGGCTCTCACAAACCATAATTCTTTACAAATCCAGAATCGGGCAGCCAAACCATGACTGTAAGAGCCCCTGGAGAGAACACTCTGCTCTCTCCCGCCCACCCCCTGAGCATCCATTCCAACAGCAAGGCTTCCTTCTTCTTTCATCCTTTCTTTTATTTAGCAAGGAGCTAAATAAAAGTGTTGAGCACCTACTACGTGCCAAGCGTTGCATTGGGATATCAATAGAGTATAAGGCCAACTCTCCATGCCCTTCTGAAACAGTATCTGCTCCCCCTAGACAGTGTCCCCATCCTGGCTTTCCCACAGTACAGACAGAATTCAGACAGCATTCACCCCCACCAGAGTACGCTCACAAAATGCACATGGCAGCAGGCAGCCCTCTTGGCCAAGGAAGGAGACAATGGAGGAAGAGGTAGTACAGCATCAGGTCACATGTTACCATCCTTGTGTACAGCCAAGCCTTCCTGGGCCCGGCCTTGTCTTCCTAAATCAGCTTTCAGTTGCGCTCTTAGCTGTTCACCCTGGCCATCTGTGTTCCCCTCCTCTATACAGGCACAACCTGCTGGTCACGATGCTGGATTCTCTGAAGTTCCAGTTCTCAGCGGGGTCCTGGAGACCCATAATAGGGTCTCCGGAGTCCAAAAGAACTGTCAGGTGCTGAGGTCCTGTAGCTGGGAATTCATTGGTTTATGAATTCAGGGTCATTCCGAAACTATGACTAACAACCCTGAAAGACTGCACACACCTTATGGTACAGATGGTCATTAAATGATGGTGGTTCATCCTTCCTTCCTTTGGCTTTCACAAAATATGTTCTGAACAATTAAATAAGGAGAGTTTCCTATACGTTTTTTTTTTCAGTCGAAAGTGTACTGACAGATTATTAAAGGGTGATGGGTAAGGGTGGAGATGAGGAAAGGCAAACCTGAAGACCATGAAAGAACCCAGTTGAAGATGGCATCTCTATAAATGCCTTAATTCCTGGTGTACTAGGTATTTGTGTATGAGCTGCGACGTGTTTTCCAAACCGTCAACCTCATTTTGAAGTCATCTGGCAGGGGGGAATGGTTTTCGAAACATGGCGGGATAAGAATCTGAGCGGTCACTTGTTAAACCAGCAAAATGGAGAAATGACTTCCTTCCCAGCCTTCGGGGTCTTAGTTCTGTGTTGATCCACAATTTCCCCGTCATTACTTCCTGCTGTGCTGTCCCTTCTTCCCAAGATGTGTGGAGGAAATTTTACCTCCCAGAAGTTCAGGAATGGCTGTGGGGAGTTTTGTTTAAGGAGGCAGCGGGAGACCAGGAGGTAAGGGATAAATATTTTGATGTCTAAGGGCTATAAACTGTTGATGCTTAACTTTTCCTTTTACTTAAACCTCTGCTATACCTTTTATTGAAAGGCTGACACCCATACCTGTGCAGGAAAGACACTCTTGGGAATGAACAGAAATGAATAATTATCAGACTCTCTGGGGTGCCAAGGGGATTAGCTTGTTCCAGTTTCAGAACTGAATTTAAAATACAGAGCTTCAGTAGTTCTGCTAGGGCGAAAAGCAAATCACTTCAGTAGTTTAAGACATACCTAGGGGCTAGAGATCCTATAAACTTTCTTATGGGTAATGGCGTCCCTTCAGACCCCTGCTCAGGCGCTATGAGCTGTGTAACTGCACGTTTGACTTCTACCTCCAGAACAGGGGAAGCAACCCCAGCTTCTCTCCAAAGTCACTCCTCAGCTGTTCAGACAAGGTAAACAGTCCCTATTCTGAGGGAATTCTGCCGTGTTTTAACACTCAAGGGGAAAAGGAATATCAACTCTACTGAAGAGTATAATCTGAGGAGAGACTCGTCTAATGGATTTACCCCAGTGTTGCTTGCGAAGGCTTGCTTTGTCTGCAAATGTCACAGGGACTGATTTTGGAAAGGAACAATAAAAGTCTCTCAGAAAACTTTCCCAGACCCCCTTAGCATTTTAGCTTTACCCAAACCTCCTCTTCTCTGTGCCATTAGCAGCTTCATTCTTTGTGATGTTTTCCTCTACATTCTTTGGAGTAATTTTGTTACTTGACAACTAGACTTAAGATTGCCGCAGACTCTTTTTTAAAAAGCTAGTGTTTGAAAATGACATAAATTCTTTTACGCCTTAAAGGCTGTTTTTATTCACCTCTCCCACAACCCTCTCCACTCCACTCTTTTGCTTTTTTTTTTTTTTCTTTTTTTTTTTTTTTTTTTTTGCTTTTAATCTTTCGTTTAAAAAAATTCCTTGGGTAGACTTTGAGTCTGAAGAACTCAAACGGAAAAACTTAGCATTCCCCCTTTTCCCCAGTACTGACTAATAATTCCTTCTTCTGCTTGATCTCGGTGAGGGCTTGCTGTCCAGACAGCAGTGGGATGTGCGTTCCCGTCTCTAGGGAATGACCGGTGAAAGCTGCTCACCGACACAGAGCCCATGAGATTATGAGGGAGGGTAGACCAAGAGGTGCTTCTGCTCAGGGCACAGCTGGGGACTCTATTTCAAAGACAACAAGGTCCTGCTCCTCTGTTTCTTTAGCTCTGCATCTCATCCCGGAGCCAGAGAACTGTCTTAGGAATTCGGCTTTATCAGTGTGCATGATTCCTGGTACCACTGCACACCTTTGGGTCAAATAGAGCCCCATTTCCATTATTTTGCTCTGGTGACTTACTCCTGTGGAGAGATGGGGACATTCTTTGGACAGTGAATCAGCTGTGGGAAGCTTGAGGAAAAAGTTGGCCTTGTGCACGTGAAGGTTCTGCCGCACCTTAATGAAAAAACAAAGTAGATCCTTCTCTGGAGATTCTTGTGTGGGAAGGTGGCTTAGAGGGATGGTATCCATGCTGGTTTTCTTCTGGCCAGCACCTTGGCCCTGCAGGGAATGTTCTGGGGGTGGGGATAGGGTATGGAGCACCATTTCTAAGATCTAAATTAGAAGCGGAAGTTCACCTATAAGATAAAAGTTAAGGGGAAGTGCCAGTGATTATGGGACCAGTTTTAGACCTCCTGCCCAACAGCACAAAGACTGACAAATGACTTCCTCAGGACAGCAGAAAATGGGTGTAAAGGGCTTTGTAAGATTGGAGTTTTGAGCACCATGTAGGGCGATTTTACAATCTCAAAGAGCCCCAAGTGTTCTTACTTCAGAGCCTCCCTTCCCCAATTACATCAAGCACAAAAAGGCACCAACAACATACACCTAAAAAAATTTCAACGTAACCCTATGACTTGCACCGAATTGCAGTTGACTGGTTGCCCTAATGTTAAGTGTTGTAGATACATTCTTTGACTCTACAATATTCTTTTCATATTTCAGAGCCGATGGTTCTGGGATTTCATTTCTTTAATGGCTTGTCTTGTTGCTGCTGTCGTTGTTCCAAACCTCCAACATTTCCAGGCGGCTTGGGAAGGCTCTTAAACCCAGGCCTTTGCGCCTCCAGTGCAGTGACACAAACAGCCCTACCAACGTGAATGCCGTGGAGACTCTGACATTAATCCAGCTGGAGACGCTAACCCCCGGAGCCAGGAAGACACTGAAGACCCCTGCTGGTTGCTTTCTGCATTGCTTAGAACCTTTCGCATTTCCGTTGTTTGGATCAAAGGAAATAAACGGGCTGTTCTCCACGTGGCTTTGCCCCATTAGCACACACACCACGATCGAATTCGAAGCTGGGTGTATAGGCAAGAGCTTGCAGATCTGTTTTGTGTGATTGTATTTAGACACCACTCCCCCCAAATTCTATAGCAACGTATTGAGGAGCTTTACTCTGTCAAAACAAACAATTCTAAAACAAGAGACTCTTATTAGGTCATTATTTCTCCCGCAGTGGGGGGACTGGTTTTGTGACATGCCTCTGAAGAAAT